CAGCCGTGTCTACGGCTGCCTGTTCGTGATGCGTCGTCAGCCACCAAAGAGCCCAGACTTGAACGTGCTTGACCTTGGCTTCTTCGCATCTATCCAGTCCATACAATACAAAACGACGAGTCGCACTGTGGACGATGTGATCCGCGCCACCCTCTCAGCATTCAACGACTTGAGCTATGAGAAACTTGAAAGCGTGTTTCTCACCTTTCAGGTGGTGATTCGTCTTGTTCTCGAGCACGACGGGGGCAATCACTTTGCGTTACCCCACCTCAAGAAAGCAGCCTTGTGCCGTGCTGTACTCTTGTAGGCTAGGTATTAATGATCAATGAAATCATAGGTTTTTCTTATGAACCAATCATATCCATTTTGCACAGTAATGTGGAAAAAGTCGTTTTTACTTTTGGAGCAGTAATGTGGAACAGAGGAAGTACAGTAGTACAAGTTAGGTTCACACGTGTTTACACGTGTGAGCAAACGCCACGCACGCCGGATAAGTTCCGGATGATCTTTCGGTTGTGGTCTGCAAAACTGGCATACACGACTTGTAATACAAGTCGTGTATGCCGTCGAGAAAGATGTCGATACCATGAACGCGCGGCGTAGGGTGGCTGTATCAAGAGGACGTCTTGACAACGCCGTGGTCTCGAGGAGTTGCTTGACAAGTGGACTGTCACCTGCCACGCCACCGCTGGATTCAACATCCAGCCGACATGTCTTGGTATTGTATGCCAGTGTCGCAGTGTCCAATCAATGCCAATGGCACCTGAAATTCCATCTCTCTGTAGTAGACAAGTCGATGGCTGCAGCGTTCTTGGAATGCGTCTAGAAATTGTCGCATTTGCATGTTGTGTTTTTACAACTAACATCCGTCTTCATACATTTTGTCATTGTGCAAATTGCCTTGTGCCAGCCCGTGCCATGCGTGTTTTGGTCGCCCTCGTGCTTGCTACCTCTGCCGTCGAGGCGTTCAACCAACCTCGCCAAGACTCGCCAATTTTGTTGGACCATCAAGTCCGCATGGACGCTGCAGGCAACGATTTCCGCGTTTTGCGAGGTGGCTGTAAATGCAGAAATGCCAAGCGAAGCCTTCGAGGCCAAGAAGAGCCGACAACTTTGTCTGGTTCGTCTGGTAGACGACTAGTGGCGGCTAACTGGTTTTCATGTTGTTTCGGTGGCCAACAAGGTCAAAATCAGCACCACGGACAAGCTGCTCAAGCAGAAGAGCGACGACGTCGCACGGCCCAGAGGCAATCAAAAGTGTATCCACCTGGTCCTTCAGACCCCAATAGCCCAGAAAACTCGGTTAGAGGTAGCCCTTAAGACAAGAATGGTCGATAACCCTGCATGACTGCTGAAGACGCAAGCCTTGGGATTTATTCAGTAGCGCAACCGCTGAGTAGGTTTCTTCATAAACTTTCATTCATTTTCATCTTGTTGGCGTTCCTCGTTCCTTCAATGGAGAATACAAACAAACTTGCCATGCTGCTGGCAAGCGTCTAACGATCTTGAAAGCCCAAGACAGTGTTTCCAGGACGAAAATCAAAGACAGGAAGGGATCTAAGGGCGCTACAGAATATTGTCAATCGAGATCTCTGCAGAAGAGATAGACGACATTTTGGTTTATATTTGCTCTCATCGGGTAAGGCGGCAGGTAGGCCGTAAGGCCGTGTCGCCACCCTGATGAGGTCTGCTAGGGAATGACAAAGTATGGCGCTTTAACTCTTCCTGGTGATGGAGATAAGTTCAATTTTGTTGTGTGACCTGACCCCGATATGACCTGTTTCGGACACGAGCAGTAAGATGTCATGTTGAGAGTGAAAGACAATTGCAAGCCTTAGTTGGTGACCTTTTGATTGGCCTTGGAGGCGTCGCACGTGACGAGGGTCAAGCTGGACGTGAAGCAGAACTTGGACTCATCTTCAGCGAACGATCCACTTCTTGTCGTTGACAAGGCGCCATGCATCGGTGCGAGTAGTAAGACTCTTGCCCTTGGAGTCGTTGACCAACGAGTTGGCCAAGTTAAGAACCGAGTGGAGCGACCACTTGTCAAGGTGAGCGCCAGTATCATCGGATTACTTCCAACTCCAGTAGGGCCATCCGTTCTTGGCTCCTTAGAACATTCCCATCATGCTTGAAGCCAGCTGGCTAAAGCGGTTGATGTCGCTAAGGTGGATCCAGGCGTGACAAAGCTCCATTCGCCCAAGACGAGCGGCTTACCCTTCCAGTTGGTGATGTCGCTGATGCGACCAGCGACGCCTTGGTTGGTCAGTTGGTCTTCCGTCATGGATTCAGAGCTCCAGATCACATAAGGATGCCATTCGTGCCACACGTTGGTCATTTTAGGCGCAAAGTCGTCCATGTAGTCGCCATGACCTGGCCTTTGGTAGCTGAAAAGCGGCATGTGAAGTTGACCGTCGCCTTGACGTTCTCGGGATATTCGCTCCAGTAGACATGGCCATCGTCAGATCCACTGTGTTCGTCACCACTTTGCGAGACAGGAGCGCCGTGGATTCTAACGAGCACGGCAATGTTGTGCTTCCACGCCCAGTCGCGAATGAGCTTGTCAAGGTTGTCAAGACCGCCTTTGGCAAATCGATTGCACTATTCAATCCCATGAGAAGGCAGCCAAGTTTGTCCAAACTTACATTATCCTTGAGAACTCCAGCCGACAATTGATCGCGTCCAAAAGCCGACAGGGACGCGAACAGTATTGAGATTGGCCAGAGCGATTTGCTGGATGTCGTTTTCCGTGATGTTGGTCGAGCGGTGTTACTGGAATCGCACCGTGCCTTCCTGAGCTCCCCAGTACCCCGTCGTCGTGTATTCCCCTTGCTGAGCTGTCGCAAGGCGTTCCCGACCTCGCCAAACCACAGAGCCTTCGGTCCCAGACAGAGAAATTGCTCCGCAGTGGTTATGACAGCAGCATTACTGTGAGTTGGACACGTCGTCGACACGACGCTTTGACATGTATGCGGTCGAGGGGGCGACTTTCAAAGCAATAGAGGCATGGGGGAGAGGCTCCTGGCTTTGAAATCAGCTTGGTGGGGAACTGCTGCTCCGCATTTCTTCACATGTCGACCAAATTTAAAAGAATGCTAGCAAGCTGTCGAAGGTGCAGACATGAAGCTCTAACGAAAGTGCTCTTGTCGTCCTTGTCAACCTTCGATATAAGAGCATCATTCAAAGGCAATCCTTGTCGACCATGGCGTAAGAACGCAAGGAGACTGATCTCCCGTCAAACAACGATGAATCAGGTGGATTACTACATTGTATGTCGCGACAAATGAACGCTCTGCGCCGAGATCATGATGTTGTTCTCGTATTATTACAACCATCACCTTCTGGACTCTGGATCAGGCGCTTGGGGTACAAATTGTACCCCCAGTGAAAGATGATTGTACCGTACAATAATCTTTGATGGAACACCGACCACGGGCAGGACTTCAGGCCATCGTCAGTTTGTAAGGTGGTTGGGCGTTTCCAAGAGATTCCAGCCGAGCTGGAGGATTTTGTACTCGTTTCAACTCGTCGTTGGTTACCGAACTGAAGACTTCATGCATTGCCCGTGCTTGGTGTCTAGTTCCCCCAAGTCTATTCTTCAAGATTGGTGCGCCATCATGACGACGTGCCGAAGTCTCTGTGGATCAGTGCGAGTGGTCAAACTCTTGCGATTCGAGTTGTAGATGGCCGTGGCACTCTCGCAGTCGCCGCTAGTGCTACCTATAAAGCAGCAACATGATGAAAAGTTTTTGAAGAGCATATCATATACTGTGTCGATTGAGTTGAGATGCGAGGGGAGGGTCACTTGCCCATGCAAGTTTATCATCTCTATCCTTCTTGCATGTCCAGAACGCCCTATTCGCCCTTTGCGTCAACCCAAGTGGATAAATTGATTGATACTGTGGAACGTCGGCCCAGGCATCACAAAGCTTCGTTCGACCGCTGCGTCGTGGGAGTCTTCATGCTAGATCGAAAATAAAACCGAGACATCCACTTCACGAGGTGAACTCACGCAAGCGCCTTTACTTTCAAGCAAGAGAAATGATCGACTACGGAAGTGAGTGGCCCAGTTAACGCAAGCCTGGGAGCTCGGGTCGCCTTGCCCATCGATTCTCGGATGGTGAAATCCGACAATGTTCGAGTCGCCTTGGTTGACAAAGCGTGGGCAATTTCAGGAGGGTAAACCTGTATAGCTTCAGCAGACAAGCTCGGGAAATTTAACCCGATACTGTAAGTTTCGTTGAACCTTGGTCGAGGCTCGGGTAGCCATAAGCAAGCTAGCCCCGGCCGTCGGTACCCTCATTAGCTCCCATCCTTCTCTGTACCGAGAGGGAGAAGGACCTATTTTTGTCACACAGAATTTGTGGAAAACCACATAAAAAAATCTAATTCCACATTAAAAACACCGAAAACCACACAAATATTACCGAAATACACAAGCTGACGAATTCAACATTGAATTCGCTGAATTAAACATTCAATTTACCGAAAACCACACAATAATGAATGTAAACCACACAGATTTTCCCGAAACTGTATCATGAGATATGTTTTGAGTCCCAAGAGCTTAACATTTTATTGGGAACTATCCTTTGGGATATAACAACGTCTTTACCTTCTGTCTGACCACTATGTTGACTCTGAGTCATCAAAGCAACGATTCTAGTTCTACTAGTATATCTCAGTACTTGTACTACTTAAGTACTTGTACTACTTAAGTACTTGCCATCTTATAAAACAAATGGAATCAAAAAGATTACTCGAATGAGCTGTTGTGCTGTTACCCTTCCCTGGGACTTGGGTGGTGAGTGCTTGACCTTTGTTGGGTTTCAAATCCCCGAAAGTTTAACATATCATCCACCGAAATTATGGTTTCCCGCAGGTAACCATCCCAGAATGCGAAGTAACGTTGCACAACAGAAATATCACACCACGGTTGCGCTAGCAGTTCTTTGGGTGCTCATTCTTTCATACCCCGTAATTCCCCATTTCTTAACACTTATACACGCCCAGATTTGAACCCGGGACCATTGGGATGCCAACCCCATGCTCTTCCCCTTGAGCCATTCTCCCCATCAAAAATACAGGAGACGTAAAGAATACTTTTAGCGGAACAAATTCAGGTCTACATTTTATAAATTGTATAAAATAATATGTTTGAGGTCATAGGAATTCAAAGGTAGATCATTCTTGATTCCTCTACATAAGCAAAATGATTACCTCTTAAAATGAATGATTGTCATAACTGAATCTTTGGTGCCTATTACAAATTGGTGGGAAATCAGTGGGATGTTTGCATGGATGTAAATTCATTAAGCATTTTACATGTAGATTATGAAAAAGTCTAGAGTTCGTTGTATCTCACAGTGCGATTTCCACGCAAAGGAAATACTTGTTCGGCATTTCGCCCTCGGCTTCGACTCAGAAGATTGTTTGAAGCACGAACCATACCAGGCAAAACCAGTCCAATGTCTGTAGCCACCTTAATAACATGGCAACAAACGCCATCACGAGCCCAGTGTTGACATTGACACTTCAACAGCTCGGGTGCAGGAACTTGTTCAACAAGCCAACCTATTATGGTATATTAATAATGAAACATAGAGGAAATTTACCAAGTACGGGCTGATTGTGGAGTTCAAGTCGCTTCAGATTTCTTGACACTGTGTTGCTCTTCGAGAAAGTCGCCTGCGCTTGAATTCCCTCGTCTTCGCCACAGGGAATATTTTGAGAGGGTGGTGTTTGCAACACCCATCAAGAGGGTGGCTGCCAACGTGGAATCGACGTCATTCGAAGCTGATTCTTTTTGCAAAGATTTTTGAAATGCTTCTTCATACGCTCGCTCACCACTGGACAAGTTGTCCATGGGATTGCTTCTTCAGAGACTGCTTGAATTAAGCGAGCAAACCCTTGGATGAGAAAAGGTACGTGCTTTTTGACACGACCAACCACTTACCCAAAAATCAGATTAGTACAATGTGACACATAGATTCGGTGCAACACTTACAACCTTCAACACGCGATTGAAGTGCTCATTTGGATTGTTGGTGTACGAGCAGCCACGATTGGTATGGAAAACCTGCCACTTCCAGAAGCGGTGTCCACGGTTGGTGGAGAATTCTTGACGGTAAGGCAGCCAAGTGTTGAAAAAGTACGTGCGAAATTTCATCACTGCGCGACTAGTGTTCCACCTGTCGTGCACCTCCAGCATGATGTTGTCCATTTCGCTTTGGGTTTGGGCCATGTGAATCAAGTAAATGTCAAATGACACGTCGCTCCATTCTTCACTTGAGAGCCCATGCCCTTTATCATAGCACTAGCAAATGTGGTGATTAAATATGGACAACGTTTACGTACATTTTTCAGGACATGGAAAAAGCACATTAAGTACTTCACCCCATATTTTGAGAGCGTTCTTCATAGCGTCAGTCACCTACAGCACAGATGACGTTCGTACAAATAGGACAGATTTACCTTGGGTGTCAAATGGACACCATCGTCATCCTGTGGGTGATTACCCAAATGATGACCGAGAAGGTCAATCTTTGCACGCTGGACAATGTGCATGTCAAAATTCGGTACGAGGCTCTACACCTCAATTGTCCTTGTACATCCTCTTGAGGATGACAATGTGGACTGACACATCGAGTATACTGTGTTGTCATTGGATGTGGCTTGGCAAACTCCAGTCCAGGTTCTTCGTGGTGCCAGTTGCAGTTGTTTGTGTTGGTATGAGTCACGCCATACCTTGGTACTGTTGCCCTGAACTCGTCCAACGCCGCTACATCGATCGTTGCAATCAAGTCACCCATGTCAATGTGGAGAAAACACATCTGCTAGTTTCTGTATAAATACATCTTTGTTTCCTTCCAAAATTTATATTGCATAGCCTATTATATATTTAGAAATATTAGATTGTACAGTGAATATTGTGTACATCATTCTGTATGTCCCTGTGTACTGACATCGTGAAAAATATTAAGTATGAACAGTTATTTGAAACCTTCAGCTTCGAATTGACATCTTTCGGTCGTTTCATGTACTACTTCTATCAGTAAATGTGTAACTGTTTTCTCCTATAAATAGTACTCTTACTATAATTATTAGCTAGTACTTACTAGTTTTAGTAGTATGTGTAGTCGAACATGCTGAATATTGAGCGATGTCATCACGCTTTTCTTGTCGGCTGTTTGCCAAAGCGTGGTCGACACAAGGTGATTGGATTTCAGGTTCCCTGGACAAGGATTGGACAATATGGCACGTCTGTGTACCCCATTGTTAATACCTTGATATGGATGCGGCGAGAGAGCGCATCCTTGGTTTGCTGGTCGACTGTCAGGTGGAACGAGACAGGGGTATGCTGTAGTGTACCAGCTATTTCTACAGATAAGACCATTCACGCATTACATACCTAAGACAAGACTACCCACCATGTGGTGGGTGTTTGACGGGTGTTTGGACAGATTGCTTTCCAATTTGACGGATAGAATTGCCCCACAGTTGGCGAGAAGGTTCGTCTGGGTGGCGGCACGGCCTACTTGACACCTTCCCGACGTGAGATGAATACAGAAATCCCTTTTTGGTGCACGTTTGGGGATTGCATAAATTTTATTGCAATAATTTATTTCAAAACAGGCCAAATATGCAATAAATAATATTCTACTCAAAGTAGAATATTTTCCCCAATACTACTCTGGTCCGCAAAAAATGCTACACTGTTTTATCTTGATTTGAGTATGTCCGGATATGAGGATATATGGGTTTTTGTATACAACCTCAAAAACGTATATAAAATTTCACAGGATGTCCAATATTTTTATTCAAACAGCACTGATGTCCCGATGACACAGGTCTCTCTGTGTTCATCTTGCTTGCCCAGAACAGAAATAGCGAAGTCTAACGTCAGTATAATGTCAGTTATGTTATAGCGCATGTCAGGTGTGGCTATTGGCGGCTCTCATCGCGAGAGCGCTATGTTTGACAGTCATCTCTAGGTTTGATAGGTTCCAGCCTTCTGACGACCTGCAACCGGGCTATACACCAAGAACCAGCAGTGTTGCTATGTTAACACCATCTATCTTTGATGTTGAATCTAGATATGTAATTAAATTGGGCTCAATTCCTACAGTGAACCCACAGCGAAAAAAATGTGATCTATCCGCCTGGTCGGTCAACTTTGACACACCATATCTCGCCAACGGAGACGAATTGTAGTTTCCACAAATTAACCAATCAAAGAGGAGATCCTAAGCTGTTTACTGAGCCAATCAGCGTTGAATATTTCGATTATTTTTGAAAAAAAATTCTGCCGAGAATGTAACTGTAGCAATTATTTCGGACCAGAGTAGTATCGTATAATCCACACAAATTCCCAATGATTATTTTATTTTCGTGGGAATCCAGACAGTCCGAAATTTTAATTATCGTGATATTATAATGCGTGGTTTGTATTATTTTGACCAAAATGCAAAATATCACATAACGAATTTTCACAATATTTTTTATTTGGCATCCAGACGGGACCTTACAAATAAACAATAACTTTATAGTTTTAAGAATGGGATTCCAACAGCACTTCATACATGTAGAGTATCTCACTTCAAATGATCATGGACTCACCAAGACATCTATTTAGGGAGAAATTGAGTTCTTGATTTCATTCTTTGATGAAATCTGCAATCTCCACATCAGGAGCGTTCATTCTCCAAGCAATCGCGGTCAAACTGCATGAATTGTCACTGCGATCAAGCTCCATACCAACGGTGCTGGAAGCATGGAAGTGAAAAGATAGCCTTTATGACCCAGATTCCATTCTATTCCTTCACATCGAGCATTCCAGCCCGCTCTCGAGGCCGCTGAGTTAAGAGCATCTACACCGGTGCACTGAGATCCACACTGAATCTGACTTCTTTTCAGTGCCGAACTCAGTGCTGAGTTTGAAAAGTCAGTGTCGATCGTAAAAATGCTCCACCGGTACACCGGATTTGAGCACTGAAACCTATTAATACTTATTCTAAAACGCATTGAAAAATAGAGTAAGCAACATGGCCGAGTGGAGAGCCACTTTGGCGCAGCTCAGTGCCCAAATCTTCAACTCGTCTGATGAAGATGACCAGGTAGCAACAACAGTCTTGCTTCTCGCAAGGCAACATGACGAGAAATACAGTACCTCAATGACTTCAAAGAAGTGGGGTGGCTCCAGACGTGGCCGCAAGGCAAACCTTCAAAAGAATCATGCAGAAGGTGACCGACAAATCATTCGAGACTACTTTGGTAGCCTTGGGCACACTTCAATCTATCCTGACTCAATCTTTCGCCGTCGATTTCGTATGTCAAGATAGCTTTTTCAGTATTTTATGGCAGACATTTCAGAGATAGACGACTACTTCAAACAAAAACTAGATGCTACAGGGAAACGAAGTATGTGCATTTCTGGATCGTAGATAGAGTCGTCACAACAATAGGCAGATTTCGCAATTGTATCCGTGTCAGTGTCCGTGGGTAGGTCGATGGCGGACACGAACACGGACTCGGACTAAATTTAGAAGATTTCGCAAGGGAAATTCAATCCGTTCCCGCAAATAACAAACGATCAGTGGGCAGTTGCAAGATCGAGCCAACATGCTGTCGGTCCTCGAGCTCGTTCTCATCTTAAGGTCGTCGCGTATCATGAAGCCTCTGCGAAGACGTCGCTTACTACTCTTATTGGTGGAAGCAGTAGAAAGACCACAAATTCCCGACGTTCGCTTTGACCTGGACGACTTCAATGACGCGGAGCTAACACTGAAATTCCGCTTTAAACGCGCTGGAATTCTACAACTCGTACGTTGTCTTCGCCTTCCTGATATCTTCTTAACGTCAGCGCGCGATTCCTTGCATGCAGTAGAAGCGATTTGTATTGTTCTCCATCGTTTGAGTTATCCCAAGCGCTATTGTGATATGATGGACACATTTGGACGGTCCAGAGAAGCACTTTGTCGAGTTTTCAATCACATGGTCAGTCTTTTGTACGCAAAATGGCACGAAACAATTTACTTCTGCCCCTTGACAAAGAATAGATTATCCCTTT